GACGACTCACAAGTAAATGTATGCTGTTTAAAAACCTCGCGAAACAAGAAAACGACGCATTCATATACCGATGTTATTTTGCACAAATTAGAGGGTTAGCGATGGGGCAGCGCTTAGCACCAGGCCTTGCCATCGCTTTCATGTCTAAGGTGGAAGCTCCAGTTCTCGATCACCCACCCTTACTCTGCTGTAGAAACATAGACGACCGCTTCATCGTCTGTTCCACACAAGAACAAATGGATGAGTGCTTTGAATTATTAAGCCGACAGTCAGAGTATATAAAATTTACACGAGAAAAACCTACAGAGAACTGCCATCCATTCTTAAACATCTAAATAAAGCTCTCACTAAGTAGCTATTTAACAAAATGGTATCGCAAGCCAAGTAGTAAAAACATTCCAGTTCACTGCCTCTCCTCTCATCCTTCACACATGAAAAAAGCATTTATCAAAAACATGTATCGTACGGCTAAAAATGTGTGTACAGGAGAAGAGGAAAGGAAGGAATCGCAAAACCTGGCACGAAAAATTGCCATTTCCAATGGCTACGAAGTAGAAGCCACTCGGGTTAAAGGAGAACGTTGGGTAGTTTCCCAAAATAATATTTCAGACGAAAGTAGGATCCCCTTTAAGCTGCCCCTCATATCAAATGAAGTAAGTCACGCCATTAAAAAGTGCTTAAGAAAAAGTGGTCTTGAAAATTATGTAACGATTATTGACATTCCACCTAATACCCTACGCCGCCAGTTAGTTCGAAATCGCCTCTATGATCGTTTGTGCAGCTCAGAAAACTGTATGATCTGTCCTAACGGGAGAAACGGGATTGCATGAGTTTAGATATAATATACTTGATCTCATGTAATGCATGTGGCGAGGAATATATCGGGGAAACGGTTAGACACTTTGTTTCCGCATAAAAGAACATCAAGATGGAAAAGCTAAAGTCCGTTTAAACACCCCTCTAGGTACGCATAGGGTACAAAAGCACAACGGCGATGATTTTGAAGTGAATGTGCGGATCCTAGCGCAGGAATCAAAAACATCAACGCGCAAAACTCTTGAGGCGTTTTGGATAGATTTCAAAAATCCAAAGATGAACCGGAAGGACGAATGCCTCACTATCACGCGTGACCTGGTGCCCTATTTCAAAATGATATTTTGACCCCGGAGCGTGTCTTGCTCGCGTGAACTACGTGTGGGCCAGTCCAGCACGTAACATCACGGTGAGTGGCCTTTCTGTTCAATATGGCGTCTGTTTGAAAGTTTGATCTTCATTAATACCTTAACCTTCTTTTCCACCGAATAATAAAAAGTGTTCTAACATAAAGTACGTCCAAGCTCTGAGGAAGGCGAAGTCGCCGAAACGTCAGCCATCGATCAATTGCATCAAAAACAACGACAACGACAACGACAACGAAGATCTGTACCAACCTCGCGTCAGCTTAAGAATATCAGTTTATAAGATCACATAAATAAACAAATACCGATGTTGTTTCTTGAGCGGGTGCGTGTGGCGCAGTTGTGGAAGCTGCCCTGCAACACACACGTGGAATCGATCCCATGGCCCACCAAGCCCTACATCCCTCCAGGATCAGCAAATTGATACCAAACAACATGCCTGGAGGCAGCAATGGCTCGATACATCGGTAGGCGACCATGATCATTATAATGGGCCGATATGTGCATGGTGTATATCTCAAGAATTGATCAACTTTAAAGTCAACCGAGAGCTTCATCTTTTTTTGTTTCTCGAGATCTCGAGCAATTGGCAGCTACTCGATCAGGAACCCTCTGGAGAAACTCAGACATTTTTGAAGCATGAAGTATAACATGCTTTCGACACCCACCGCCATAGTTTATGTAGCTGTATTTTCCCTGTCTACTAGATTCTTCTGTGGAAGCTCATTTTAGAAGAAAGAAATTCGCTATTGACCTGCAACACTTGGGACGGGTCATGTCTGATTCGATCGTTATTATAAATAGTTCATTCCCATTGACACTTTAGGAAATTAATTTTTTGGCTCTTAAATTTTCTTCCAACTTTTTATCGCCAAAAAACAAAAAGTGAAAAACTCATTGTTCAAAAACAGATATTTTTTGTTTAGTCAGTGTGACGATACGTGAAGACTGTCTTCATTAGGCCAAGCTTGTTGAATACTATGACAGGTAAGCGGTTGGAGCTGGAGATGATAGGTTTGTCGGTTCCTTTCGTGGAGCAGAAACTAAATTAACGAACAAATTAGTGCTAGACACCATAAAATCTTCGAGTATTGACCCTTACCGATAGCCCGTCAGCTTTTGGTCTTTTTGTGCTTTGATTTCGACACCTCCTCTTTTACATCCTCCTGTGTCATAACCGCGAGTGATTGAGATGATTTCCACCTCAATTTTCTTTCCAACAGGGGCCTTAATGCAACTATGTAATATCCCAAATTCAACGAATATAAAGCTATGAGTATAAGCTATGAGTGCTGAGATATGAGCCGAACTCGGAACCTCGGGAGGGCTTCGAATCCGCGACTACCCTTACTCACGTCCTGTCGACCACAGCAACTGAGACTCTTGCATTGTCATTTTTCTGGCCGCATTTTTACACTATCTGTACCATCAACAATCAAGATTCAACGAAAATGTTTCGGAGAGCACTCTAAGGTTAATACTCGGCTGTGGCTCCAAGTTTTGCTTTTATCTGAGCTGTTTTGTAGTTTCGCATCATACAGTGAGTACCCTGCCACAAAAACAGTACGCAGGAAATAAAAGTTATGGCATTGTCGATATAAAAATGTTTCCTTGACAAACAGAAACGAGACTCTTGTTATCGTATTCACTCGCAACAGCAGGCGCACAGCGGTTTCGCGTTTTTCAGAGCTTGGAAAGGTCAAACTGACAGTTTACCTAGCTTTTGCTACTTTACCTTCTTCTTTCATAATCAGTGCAGATGAAGTTAACGGAGAAACGAGAGAGTTGGAAATGAAGCAACGAATGCAGCCAAGCCTTTCCATTGCGCTCACGGTCTAATGTTAAAGCATCCGTACTCCGTGCCTGGCCTCCACTCTACTGTAGGTGCATCCACTACTGTTTTTTTCATCTGTTCCACGCAAGACAAGATGGACAAATGTCCAAATTCACTCGAAAAAAGCCAAAAACAAGGAAGCTTGCCATTTTGCCCTTTAAAATCATCTTATATAAAAACGGCTATATTACTGCCGGTTTATTAACTACCCTCTCCCCTGTTCGCACAAACGCGCACTTGTGAGAAACATGTTTTGAACATGTTTTGTTCCGAACCACTATGTGCACAGAAAGGAGGAAAAAAGTGAAGTCTGGAAATAGAGGCGATATCTAGCTAGCTACGAAACGGTAGCTCATAGGGATAGGTTTAGAGAGAGGACAATGCCCTCAAACGACTGTTCTGGCTTTCATCCTACTCATCTTTCCCAAAGAAATACCTGAAGCTACAAAAAGGACCGGTGTAGAGAATTCTGTAGCAGTTAAGGAAATACCACTGAACACTCTCAAACCCCAGTTAGTTTATGACAATCTGTATTACCATTTGCGCACAACTAGAAATTGCATAACTGTCTTGACGGTAAAAACGGAAATTTCATTGGGCCACAATTTATCTGAACTCTTGCAAATGTGCAAAGACGAATATACTGGCGGAACGAGTAGACAGTTCGAGTCAGTGTAAAAGGGCACATAGTTGGATAGCTTAAATCAGAATGATATCCTCGACGAGGCACGCATAAAACACAAAGCCAGAACGGAGAAGATTTTGAAATAAAATTTACCACAATGATGCCGAGATGTTCTCAATTCTTGGATGGTGGGCTAGATCGAATTACGATTACTCTTTCTGGGTTATTACACACTACACCACTGAGGGTGTTGCTTTGCTTTCTTCAGTGTCTCTGTAGTTGCATTTCACATCGTACCCTGCCGTGAAGAATTATAGTAGGCAACAAATAAAAGGTTAACTCGCATATAATGCTGAGATATTTGCAAAACTCCGGACTACAGGTGTATGCGGTGGGAAACGAACCCGCACTGTTGTCCTTACCGGGGAGCAGCGCTCTTCACCACCACACCATCTGGTTCCTTCGTTTTGCCTGCCTCTCAGCTAGTTCTACCGATCGATATAAAAGGTTAACGTTTAAATTCACTATTCCTGCATGGGAATCTGCAGCATCACGGTATTAGAATTCCTGAAACATTTTGGATAAATTTTCAAGAGTCCAAAAAAGAGTAGCAAGCAGCGCCGTGTGATCAAGTGTGGCGTAGCGCAATACCTCAGACTGATTTTTTAGCATTAGTCCGGCACAATCCCTGCACCATGTAAATTCTCAGCCGCTGGTTTCGACTAGGTAGTAGGAAGGACCACAAAGGAGAAAAGGATGAGTGTTTGGAAAATGCCCTTTGTTGCGCGGGTGAAGCTTTTGAATGAAATTTCATGCTATAAGTTTATGAAAGTTTTCACTAAGTTGTTTGCCAGTTTAACCTTTCTAGGCTCCAAAAAAGGTGAAACCTCGTAAACAACAGCCATTGTGAATAATTGGTGTACCACGTCTCTGCTCATCAAAAAAAAAAACAATAAATTACTGATCAATGCCGAGATTAATGGAAAGTCAGTCTAAGAACATAAAGGTGATTGAGAAAAGCGCACCGTAATTATGTAGTTGCAAAATTTAAATTGATCTCTGAGACCGGATCCGACATCTAGTCTGCAATCTACGACTTTTTCTGCATTTGTCGCCACAAGCTCTTCTCCACAGCCTGGTGGCTGGAATGGTGGAAGTATTAGTGTCGAACTGATTTCATGAGGATTACCTTAACGCTCATTCTTACCCGCTCATCACACAGTGTGCCACCGTAACCACTTGGGCAAATACAAATGGAGCAGTTTCGAGGGTGAGGAAATCCTCCATTTTCACACTTAGCGGACGTAGACTTGTTGCATTTAGCTGCCGAATTAGAGTTTTTATGGTCTTATCCAGTTTTAGCCTAAAATTCTTGAACCTGACCATCGCATTCGTAGTGTTTATTGATCATGAAGACATCCGAGAAGGAAATCAAATCAGATCCCATCGTTTTTTGATAGAACGGATCTATTGCAACCATTGTGCGCTGCTTATTAATGGAACAACTGAAAGGTATAGCAATAATTGAAGGCATGGCAAAATTCACTAGGTTACGAAGCTTACCTGATTTCATCATAGTGCATGATACTGCCGTAATCGTATGCCAGTCCAAAAACATAGGTGAGGTCCCTGCTCAGTTTGTTGAACTGCACGACGAGATTTGGCTAAACCAACAATACGAGCTTTCTAAAAGATGTCAAATACTTGCATTTTATGGCAACTCACATAGATGTTTTGCGTGAAGATTCTAACGTAATTATCGCGATCATATCTTTGCATTGTGTGAAGAAGTCCAAGAACGTGACCAATCTCATGCACCGCTGAACCTTCCTAAAGTGTCTAATCCATTTTTTTTATGCAGCCTTTCTTTCTCTCCAACTGCGTGGACGTCAGCACTTCTTGCACTTGACTTGTTTTCTCCTATCATCCATCACCCACGGAGGTCTTTCAACTTGTTGCCTTTGGCTTCGCCTGCCGTTTGAGGATCTTCCTCTCGTAACGAATGTTGTGGCATACTGGTTGAGTCTCTCCTTCCGAAAGTTGTGAGACAGTCGGGTTAAAGCCTTCCTGCTTAATTTCAAGAAGTAGACTACTCTCAGACAAGTCTGGTACTCGACTCGGAGTAACGACAGGTTCAATCAGGATGGGAAGGAGTCGAACCTACTGCGAGCTCATGATGACCGTCATCACTTGCACTACGCAATCCGCACCCTCTAACTTAAACGATTGGGAAAATTCATGGTTTCGACTGGCTTAATTCATAGCGTAGTACGCAGCTAGAAATGCATATAATCAAACTTGATCTTTGAAATCATGCATACTTTAAAGCTATTAATTTGAATCTCTCGTACCGTTGCACGATCACCAAGCGACAGACGTTGATCTCCGCCAATTCGACCAAGTTCCGACCAACTTCCGTCTTCTTTGACTACGACCACCTTATCTTTAGCTGCAAATCGTTGATATAAAAAAACGGCGCATCTGTCTATTGGGTCCATATCGAACCATTCTTGTCTTCGACGAAGTCGATACAGGTGGCGTCACTCCATACCTTTACACCCATTTTAAACGCCTTCTGTACGATGTTGTCTGAAAGTATAATTTTCGAAAACGTACGGGAATGGATAGTAGTAGAATAGTAGTATGGACTCGCTCTCGCGTTAGCTTAATAGTCCAAGAAGGTGTCGATTATTTGATTAAGGTTAAGGTGAAATGACGGTTGGTTCAACAAATATTGACTAACTTTGTGGCAGCGAATGTAACACCGTCTGCTGTAGAATGGATTTTCCTTGCAGAAGTAAACTATTATCAGCGGACATTCATTGTCAACAATAGCCGTGCTGAACGAAAGAGCATCGCCGAGTGAGGCTGAGGTAACTTGATTCAAAAGCTGCTCCACTGATGAGGAGTCGATTCGGTACGGCGACCTCAGCGAGAACACGAGCGACTGTAGACCATCGGCTCTGAGAAATATTTATACGTCGAAATTCTGGCCGGTTAAATGCTTTTATCAACCTTGTGTTAGCTTAGTAACCAAGGACGTGTTAGGACTTTTGTCTTGCAACGAAGTGGCGATTCAGATAGCTGCAGAAAACGAAAATGCACTGAAATCCGCGACAGTAAAATAAATGTTTCTTTAGGGACTTCAACTAGACTTTTCTACATATGTTTTCACAGCAACCGGTTTCTTATCGCCCTTGTACGAATAGCTTCCATTCGTTATTTATTTTATATTTTATTGCATCCCTCTTTCTAATGCTTTGCTTCAGTCTAATGTCTCGGTACGACAACGAAGACGCCACATCCAGATAACGAAGAACTGTGGACTATCGACACGGATCACATCGGCTTTGACGAAGACAAAGACGTCGAAACGTTAGCCGAAATAAATACATCTATCCACCTCGTGTAAGTCCAGCAATTTAAAAAGCATCCTTATTTGTTTTACATCGTTTTCACAGCTGTTATTACTATTCTCACCCTTACAATTATTGCCACTATTATTGCGAAAACGTCAGGCACAAATACTTTTGAGTGGTCATTGTTTTTGAGAAGTTCCAAATCTTAGAATGAGTTTGACATCTTTATATTTGAGCCCTGCTAAAGGTAATACACCTCCGAAACCACATACGACCTTAAAACAAAGTATTCTCTCGCTGACAGCTGTTTTTGGCCTGGGAAGAGCCTTCGGGATCTGCTTTTGATAGCATATTGGAAGAAGGTCTTGCGTTACCAACAAACTGTCTTCCATTTGAAAACGAAACTGAATGTCACTCCATTCTTCGTAGATAGTAAAAAATGATCATTCAAGTGGCCAGGTGTCAAATGGCAAAGACAAATTTTTTTCCCAAATTCTTTGAAAAAGAGCTGTAAACGAGGACTGATTGTCACTTCAAGATGAATGAGGAAGAGCCATAGATTCGTTGAATTAGAAATGAAGCTGCCCATTAAAACTAGCCTGACGTATTAAACGTATAGAAGACGCCGCCTTTCCACTTCATTCTGTCCTTCAGCACTTGCCTCTTTGCGCGAGCGTCGCTTACGGCGTTCTCGAAAATTTTCTCAGCTTGTCGCCTGAACATAACAACACATGATGCTTCAGAAATCCTACATCTCATTACTTTCTAGGTGATGAATTACTCTGTCATTCTTATGTCACTATGGTGCAGAGATCGGCCAACTGCTCCTTCAGAAGTGGTTTTGAAAAAAATAGATTTGTCGAGGTTCGGGTCGTAGTTCTTCAAGTTTTCCGCTACTTCCTGCCAAATAAACTCAACTATTTTAAAGATACAAAAATAAGGCCTAGAGAGGGTTGTAGGTATCTAAAACCGTCCTAGTTCTTTCACAAATGTTCCTACTCGGTGCAAAAAATTGTATCGTGTGGAAGGAAGACTCCAAGAGAAATTTGGCACTTCGAGGTTACAAGTTCTCAACAGACTTACCGCTTTGCCCACTTTCAGTCTTCGAAAGTTGGTTTTCTGGACATCTTGAGCTTCAGAAAAAAGGTCCTTTGAATCACTGTTGACATTAATTATGTCAAAGTACGTCACTGCGATATTGGCTGCCAGGAATACAATAATTTTCATCCCTAAATAATCTGATTTAATTGAGATCAATGTAAAGGAAGAATACGGCACCGCGCGTTATCAGCTCTCCGGACCATAACTCGTTAACTCAGTCTCACATTTTTCTTTCATTATTTAGCAAGAAAGCACAAGGCATTTATTAGAAATTACTGTTAGTATTTTTTTGCCCATTCGAGAATGTTGTGTTAAAATGATTTGCTTATGAGCAAAAGGATAAAGGATAAAACTTTCGTTGTTGATCAATTTATGACGGATGTGCTATGCATTCGACTCCTTGTGTAGCAGTTTAGAAATAAGTTAATTTATGTCTGACCTATAGAATGCTTTAGGTGATTTGCTAATATGGCAAGCTGGTGTTCTTCGCTTCACATAGAATAATAGTAGCCACTTACCGGTATCAATGAAGTAGAAACCTGGTGAGTCCAAGGTGCTGCACCGAACCAGATATCAATCTAGGGTCTATTGCAGGGCACCGATAACCACTGCTGTAGAAGCGCCCTTCTGGTAATGGATTCTACTCAAATTTGTGAGCGCTCATTAAAAAGGTTTCTTTCTTTTCTTTAGCAACCTCACGTAGGTCTGACCATTATTTTGAGCAATTGGTACGGAAGCATCCGAGCACTCGAATAATCTAAATAGTGTAGGTACTATAAACCGACTTCTATTCATCTTCGGTTAGGTGTGGAAAACCAATGTACGTTCCTTCATAAACAAGCTGCCACGTAGTTGCCACCTTTTTTCAAAGCCACCACAATTCGCACTATGTAGGAAATTTACGATTTCAAACTGATTAATCAATCTGTATTCTTTCAGTGGTAGGGTAACAGAAGGTTGAGAAAAAGACTTTATCGGTTAGCACTTGCGCTCGTTCAGCGCTCGGTTGACCTGATTAGATTGTTCTCAATTGTTCCTTCTTCCGATATTGATCTGCGTTGTCGTATCAAGCCGAATCTTCTTCAGTGGTACACCACTCGGACGAAGTAACTTCACTCGGCGATATCCTTTTATGGAAAGATTGTTAATGGTAATGGTCTCCCATTGATAATCTTTTGTTTTACGACAGGAAATCCATCTTACAGCAACCGAAATTAGATAAGTGTACACGTAGCAAACCAGTACCATTCTAAACTGACTCTAATTTAACTTCGATATGAACGATCAATGTACTTTTTCAGTGATAAAAAAGATTCGAAAATTCTGAGGAAGACTCGACTCCATACGACGACGAAGGCCTTACGTCACAAAGAGCAAATGTGGATTACCGATTCGAATCATCGGCTCTGAAGAAGATGAAAACGTCGAAACTTTAACGGAATAAATATTTGGTAAGAACCTCATGTTAGCTTATCAATGAAAGAAGGTACACTATGGCATGATATGTCAGAAAATTTTCGCTCCAAGTGCACAAGTACTTTAGAGATGAATTACCAATAATTTGCAACTGTTAAACTGCGTCAGTAGTTCATTAAAAAAGTTCTCAACGTTGATCAATCCTGAGGGATGCGCCATTTGATTTCATTAAGCATCGTTGGAGCTGATACAATGCATGTCTGGCCTTTACTGGCGATGGTCTACCGATGCATGGAGCCAGTGGTGCTATCCTCCCAAACAAGTGTGGTGCCAATTTGCCGACCCCGGAGGGATGGAAGGCTTGGTGGGTCATGGGTTCGGAGATCGATTCCAAGTGTGTGTTGCAGGGCGTCTCTAACCACTGTACCACAAGCGCCCCTGGTTTTTCATTTGCTCTTAATTGCATGAAGAAGGACAGAAAAGGAAGCCTTCATAATAAAAAATTCAAGGAGCAATTAGAGCAATTAACCAAGCGCATAACTAGCGGAGATGGAAAAGCCATTTCCGCTATTCGCTGCACTTTTTATATGTAATCGGAATTCAGAAAGTATTTGTTCATCTGCCGCAGGTGCACTGCTTTCATAGAAGAACATTTCTCCTTGTGACAAATTGCGGTATGTTTGCTCGATGGAGAAAAATGGTTCCTTTTTGTGGGAAAAATTCCACAACGCATCACCGTTCTATGCAGCTAGCGCCTAAAACTATTCATAGGGTGCAGAGACAATACAAAATTATACGTTTCGAGGTTACCAAAAAACTAGGATGTCATAAATCTGTGGTCGACGGAGAGCTTTTCCATGTTCTGGCAACACTTCCAGAATTGTGAAGTACACGAAGCATCAATCATGTGCCAGCTTTGCTTCGACAGATTATTACTATAAAGGTGGTGTGCACGATAAACAAAGTCGTGTTCGATGACTCATTAACAAGAAAAATGATAATGGATTCGCCAGCTGTGTCTACGAAGGCCAGGAATTCGCCGTTTGCAATAATCCATTACCAGAGAAAAGATGGGCGAAGAGTTTCAGGTTCGTTAGATAGTGATTGGTTTCGTCGAAATGTCTGATGCGATTCTTCATCTTCATCAAACACTCTAGCGATACATACAAGCTTCTTTTGTACAAAAAACTATTCATTTGGAATTGTTTATCTTCTCACTACGAAAATTTATAATGTTGGCATTCTTCCTATTTATTTATCTCTGACGATGGTTACAAAGCTTTTTTTCAGTCACTCTTCTTAAGGCTGATTACCGTGCGTGAGCTCCAACTGATCAGTGATCCCTTCTTCTTGGAGAAAAGAGTTCACTCCCGACATCAAGAAAAACATCTGCAATGTGATCTAGTTTTCCAGCTGTTCCTTTTCCCTTATTTTTATACATACACCAGCTTAAAAAGAAAACTGCGGTAGTTTCTCTCTTCCAAGAATCTTGGTGAGTGGAACGGGTCCAGCTGTTTCTAACAGTTCTCTGTCATTAGAAAGGGATTGCTTTCTCTAAAACGATTTCTTTCAGTGAGCATGTTTTATCAGCTGTCTTAAATGTGTTGCACTAGAAACACAAATTTGTTTGCCTAATTCTTACTCAACTCTTTGTCGGAGAGCCAACTATCTTCCAATTTTCGTCTTTGAGAGACTTGTTAGCCTCAGGTTGACAGCTCTTTTCGACAAGAAGCTTATAGAGCTATTATGCACCCTAAAAAATAATCTCTAATCTTCACTATCATAAGCTTCCCGAGTCAGTGATGCACTGTTTTATTCACGCGGTTTGCGAGCTAGTGTATTGCATAATCACTTCACTCACGGATTTCGGCCTACATCGGCATCTAGCTATATCTGCTGACTATGGTCGGATAACACACCACAACGATTTTGCAACCGTTTCCTACCAATCCAAACATGAAAATCGTAAAATTCCAGCTCAGACTGGAACACACAATTATCCTTTCCAGGAGCTGACGTGCTACCACACTGCACCACCGAGACCTTCGCTTCGTATTTCTTTTGGTCAGTTTTTAACACTAACAGTGATATTAGCAGTCATTCGTGAACAGAAATGATCTGGAGAGCAAAATCGACATAAAACCCAGTTAATTTGAATCTATGGTCAAAATCACGATATTTAACAGCAATGATACCGAGATATTGCAAAACTAGGACTCCAGGCTTAATCGGACCTTCGATTGCCCTTTCCGTGGGCACACGTCTTACCCATTCCAACGCTGAGTCCCACCTAACAAGAGTGCCTTATCTAGTAAATATCTATGTTGGTATATTGCTCGTTATGATTTCTGCCTCTTGCTTGGTGATGGTACAAAATTTGGCGAGATCGTAGTAACGATTTCTAGAATAGTTCTTATTTTCTATTATTGTATGTGCTTTGTGTACATTAGCCATGTTTACTGATAACCACATTTATTCTCACACTGTGTACAAACCGCTACTATGTCAGAATCTCAGGCACCTGCTGCTGTAACGTGAACACTCTGCAAAAGCTTTAAAGCGCTATCTGATAAACATTCTGCAGAAGATTTTTTTGTATTCTTGCTTAGCAACCATGAGGTGTTATTTTATTTTTTATTTACACAGAAGCTGACCTTTCGGCGGATGTTGCGTTCCTAAGAGACTGGAAAGGTCAAGTTGATCTCAGTTCACTCAGCCAAACACATCTGTAGCTAAACAGAGAAAATGCTAAACCAAGGTTTCAATCACATTAAAAGCATAATAGCTTGAGATAGAGGCAAAAGGAAGGACTCGCATGGTGTGGCGGTGAACGCGTTAACTTCCGGAAAGGGTTATAGCGCGTTCGTACTCCACCGCAGACATCTGCGGTCCGGAATTTTGCAAATATCTCAGCATAGTTGTGGTTGCATCACAGAATAGTTTCTATGCACAATCACCTTTTTTGTGAGTCTTCCATTGATGTAACTGAATTCTTGGTATAGAATTTTTTCTGTTTGCTCATGGCAGTGTTTGGCTGGGTAGATCGCAGTAAACTAGGCCTTTCCAGGCTCTGAGGAAGGCGAAATTCGCCGAAACGTCAGCTTGTGCTTAAATAAAGAAATAAAATAACGACTCGTGTTTACGAAAGAATAATATAAGAAATTGTTCGATCGATGCCGATATTAACAGAAATTGGGACGTGGGGTTTCCGTAGAAGTTTTGAATAGCAAACTTGTGAACTATATAGTAACACAGCTTCTTGTATACAGTCTTATCTGATGTACTTATCCGCATGTGCCATGTCTTGGTTTGAAGTAGCTTTGCCAAATTATAGTGAGAAAAAAACATTATAGAAACTTTGTCTCAGCGTGGTCTATGGTTTTTCCTGCGAAAGCTTCGCTTACTACTGGAGACGTTATTATCGTCATAAACCATTACACTTTAAGCTCGAGATCGTTCTCCGTGGCTACGTGAAAAGTCTTGGTGGCAGACTTGTATAAAGCCGAGCATTCCACATCGAGGTAACAATTATTCGCTGTCGATGACTCGAAGGTGTATACTCGACTACACCCACTAATGCATTTGGTGCATTTGGCATACTGACTCAAACTCAACACTCTGTAAAATAATCTAACCAACACTTCTATTCCAATATTTCACTGCTCCAACATTGGGCGCTTTGGCCGGAAATCGAAACAAGGTCACTCGCG